CAGCTGGCCACATCGTGGAGAGCATCCGGCAGCTGGGGCTGCGGGGCGGCCCAGGGACGGAACCGGGGCCGGGGACCCCGCTCTGTGCCCAGCACGACGAGCGGCTCAAGCTCTTCTGCGAGGAGGACGAGGAGGCCATCTGCGTGGTGTGCCGGGAGTCCCTGCACCACCGCTCGCACACCGTCTACCCCATTGAGGAGGCCGCGCAGGTGTACAAGGTAAGGGAGGTTGGTGTGCCAGGGGTCCCTGTCCCACCCTGGTGCACCCTGGGCACGCCCGGCGCCAGGGGGACTGGCTGCCAGGACCCCACTGCCCAACAGCCCGGTCAGCACCACCAGGAAAGCAGAGGAGGGGGTGGCAGAGGCAGTGGCACCCACCCAGCCGCTCTCATTGCAAGGGTGAGGCTGGACCCACTGGCTCCCAAATTGTGGAGGCACCCAGACTCACCCCCTCCGTCCAGGTGCATTGAGGCAGCCTGGGTCCCTGCCCCTAGTCTATGACCCCCCAGGGGAAGGCGTGTGGGGGGGTCCTGCCCTGAGAGGGTTTCACCTCGGTGGAGGGGTGCACCCATGCCCCATGTCCCAGCAATGCTCCTGGCAGCACCCTGCCAACCTCCCCGCACCCCAGCATTGAGGGGAGCCACCGCTGTGTTCTCCAAAAACCTAAACAGTGAGAAAAACAGGGGTAAAACCCGAGGATTGTGGTGAGGGTTAACGCTGCAAGCGGAGTGAAGAGCGCAGCTGCTGGGCTCGGGTGCCAGGGCTGGCAGCGCCTGGCACGGGGTCACCGTCCCCTGGCTGCCGGCTGGCACCAGCGGCCCCAGGGCGGGGGGGCAGCCAAGCGGCATGGCTCGGCGGGTGCTGCTGGGGTGAGCCGAGCCCGTGTCTTCTCTTTTCAGGTCAAACTCCAGAAATCCCTGGAGCATCTTTCCAAGGAAGTGGAGGACGTGAAGAAGCGGGAGTCAGTGGAAAGGATGAAAACCCAGGAGTGCAAGGCAGGTGCCTGGCTTAATTCTTACAGCATGAGCTTCAGAGCTATCAGCAATTATGGTCTTGTCTGGGGCCGTGAGTTTGGCATAGTGCTCAGGACGGGACCCATCCCCATGCCCCACTGTTGTACTGGAGACTGGTGCTGGAAAGCAGGCCCAGTGACTGTGCGCAGCTCTGTAAAAAAAAAAACCTGAAGAGGTTTGCAAAGAAATGCTTTGCAAAGAGCAGCACGCCAGGTCCACAAAAAGCACAGGGGCTTGTGTGCCACCAAAACCAGTAGGCACAGGATATTTTTTATTTGCCTTTTGTTTTACAACGTGTGCTTGAGTTACAAGCCAGGCGTGAGCCATACGGTGAGCTCTGCTTCACAGCAATAGGAACCAGGAGCGTTTGCATTGAAAAAAAGGAAAAGTGGAATTACCGCATCCCTGCCCGATTCCGGGCAGTCCCGGGGAGATGCGACGCCAACAAAGCAGCTGCATTTCAGGTCCCTCCGGGGTGGAAGCTGGAAAGTAAAAGTAACTGCAGAAAAGGAAACGAAACTGCTGGACCAAGTTATCCTGCCCTGAGCTAAAGTTGATGATTAATCAGCCTTGGCAGGGAGAACAGGCTGCTCCAGGCTCTGGCAGTTATTTGCTCAGCTCCCCACCCTGCCTGCCACAGCCCGGCCAAGCAGGTCCATGGGGTTTTGGGGTGCCGCTGCGTGCCTGCCGTCCCACTCAGGGCGGGGATAGGGCCAGGGCTGGGGGTTGTGAAAGAGCTGTGTCACTGTCCCCCAGCCCGCCTGAGTCAGGGCTCTGGGGTCGGGGCTTATCTGCCTCCGGCTTCCTCCTGGCCTGGCAGCTGGTTGCACTTTTTCAGTAAAAAGTAAAAAATGTGCTTTGCGAGCGGTGGGGGGAAGTGGTTGTGACCGTCCTGGCTAATCAAGCCCTTGTGACTCAGGTCCAAGAAATCATGTGCTTGGATAGAAAAATAAATGCAGTTCAGTTTCCTTTTGTTTATCTTCTGCATTTTGAGGTTGCATGGTTCTAGCTAACCGCAGTGTCTTCTCCTGGCACCTCAGGCTGTGGGCAAAGTGCCAATCTTCAGGGCTCAGGCGAAAAGCACTAAAACACTGGCAGACCCTGCCTGTTGCTGATGGTAGTGGGAGCTCTCAGACACCCAGGGAGCCCAGCCCCGGCTCCCCCTTCCCATCCCAGCCCAGCCCCGGGGCTTCTTCGACCTCTTTCCCATCGTTGTGGGTTTTTCCAGGCACGGAGCATTTCATCTGGGCTGCCCGAGCCGTAGGTTAGCCCAAATCTAGCTGGAGGGATGAGCTGTACCGCATCTAACAAAAACCTACCTAACAAACAATTGATGGCAGCTCCTCGCAGCCCAGCAGCATCCCCATCCCCCCCAGTGCTGCACCGAGACATCGCTGGAGATCGGAGGTCCAGCTGACCAGAAGTGCCCCAGGCAAAGTCCTGCTGCCAGTAAACTGAGGATGTCTGGGAGCTCAGGCGAGGTGAAAGCTCAGCAGAGAGCCTCTGGCGGCTTTTTTAAATAAATGGGCTTATCAAAAAAATGCGGTGGTTTCCCAGTGCCTGGTACCAGCTGTGGATGCTGGAGCATCTGGTCCTGCCTCGGCTGCCTGGCTGATGTTGCCTCGCTTCACCCTGTTGTGTCTTCTTATCGCAAGGAGGTGGTGAAGAAAAAGCGGGAGAGGATTGTGAGCGAGTTTGGGAAGCTCCATCGGCTGCTGGCTGACGAGGAGAAGTTGCTGCTCCAGAAGCTGGAGGAGGAGGAGAAGCGGATTCTGCTGATGATCCATGAAAACCTGGCCAGGCTGGTGGAGCAGAAGTCCTTGCTGGAGGAGCTGATCCTGGAGATAAAGGAGAAGACCCAGCAGCCGGCTGATGGGCTGCTCAAGGTCAGGCTGTGCCCCCAGCCCCACTACCTCAACCCCGATGCCTGGGCTGTCTGGGAGGGTGGCTGGGGCCATGTTGGCTGGTGGGTGCAAGGGCCTGCAGCCCCACACCCAGAATGGTTTTTCTCTTCTTCTAGGACATGAAAAGCATCCTGAGCAGGTGGGTACCTGTGGTCATTCCTCCCACTGTCCTGGCTGCCTCCAGGTTCTGAGTTGTTTGCGCCTGCTCCATGCCAGTGGCTCCTTGTCCTCCCTGCCCAACATCTTGTTTCGTCCTCCTGGAGACTGGCGAAGGAGGGACTGAGATCGGCGAAGGCTGGAGAAGAAATTCCCTACTCTTATTCCTCAGCCCCAGAGGTCTCACCTGGCCTTGTGGTGTGTGAGACGTGTCCCCCCATGCTGCCTGCTGGCCCTGCGCCTGCCTTCCCAGGGATGGGCACTGCCGCTCCCCACATCATTTAGCTCTGGTCCCATCACGCTTGCTGATACACAAGCGGTTTTCCCCAGTGCTCTTCCCAGCCAAAGAGCACAAGGGAGGAGATGCCTCTGTGCAGCCAACGGAAAGACATTAACCCCCCTGCAGGAGACTGCCTGTGCTCCGGGCTCTGGACACAGCCCATGGGCATCGCTCTCCTTTCAGGTGCGAGGGGGTGAGGTTCCAGTCCCCCAAGGCCGTGTCCGTGACCCTGAAGGAAAACTACAGCATCCCTGAGCACTGCCTGGGCATGAGGGACATGCTGAAGAAGTTCAAAGGTAAGGGGGCTGCTTCTGTGCCAGCTCCTGGCACATTTGGGCTCCGGTGTCCCCCCCCCCCCCCCCCAACACCGGGGACGCGGGGGAGAAGCTTCATCCAGCTGGTGCCTGTTTGGGTACTGATGAGTTCAGGCCGGTTTCATGGTGGGGAGACCTTCCTCGCCCTCGCCTTGGACGGGCTGTGAGGTGACCCTGAAGCCTCACTCAGGAGTTTCAGGCTCCGTGTTGCCCACCAACTCCTGCTTTTGGTGTTGGCTGTTTCGGAAGCTGTGCCGGGGGCCGTGGAGCCACCCTCATTCTGTTGCTGCTCCGCAGCCAGATGCCAAATACTTTGATGTGGTTTATGGTTAGCCTGATTTTCTGTATTGCACTTCCCCACTGTTGGGCAGAGTTGGAAGCTGTGCAAAACCACAGGCACAGGCAAATAAACATGGGAGGTGGGAAGATCGGTAAGAGCCCAGCATCCAGGTTGCAGGCACCCACTCGTGTCTGCACTTGCAGACCCCTGAAGCCCCCGTCTGTCCTTCCACCCTTCTCTCGCTCCAGTGGACGTGACCCTGGACCCCGAGACAGCGCACCCTGAGCTCACCCTGTCTGAGGACCGCAAGAGTGTGCGGCGTGGGGGCAAGAAGCTGCTTCTGTCCCTCTTCGACAACCCCAAGAGGTTCAGCACCGCTCCGGTGGTGCTGGGGAGTCAGATCTTCTTCTCGGGCCGTTGCTACTGGGAGGTGCAGGTGGGAGACAAGCCCGAGTGGGGCTTGGGGCTGTGCAGGGAGTCTGCCAGCAGGAAAGGCAACATCCTCTTCTCCCCAAACAACGGCTACTGGGTCCTGTGGCTGCAAAACGGGGGCAACTATGAGGCCCTCACCTCGCCCGTCTCCCCTCTGACCCTGAGCGTGAGACCCCGGCGCATCGGGATCTTCCTGGACTACGAGGCAGGAGAAATCTCCTTTTACAACGTGAGCGACCGCTGCCACATTTACACCTTCACAGACAAGTTTTCAGGGAACCTCCGGCCTCTCTTCTTCCTGGGTGCCTTTTTGGGGGGCAGAAATGCAGAGCCCTTGGTGATCTCCTGGCTCAGGGACACACAGGGGACCGGGTGCATTGTCCTGTGATGGGGGCTGCCCTGGCTTCTCACCAGCGGGCAGAGACCTGGGGGCCCAACCGGCTCCTCTGGTGAGCGGCGCAGCGCTGTGGAAATAGCTGCGTGCCTTGGTGAGCCCCATGGTGGGGTCCCCGCATGCTCCTGGCTGCTGGGGGGGACCCCCACCGCGGGCCGTGCCCGTGCTGGGGCAT